AAACAGTTTGTCACAGCCCTTCGTTTGTTGTCCTCTTCTCTCTCTCTGCCTACGGTTTACCGGGCAGTTCTGTTTGTGACGATATATATATATATATATATATATATATATATATATATATATATTGTGACGATATATATATATATATATATATATATATATATATTTGTGACGATATATAATGTATATATATATAAAGGCTAATTCTTTTAAAGCCCAACCAATTCAACTACCTGTCAAATATGGACAGGAAGGCCTTTCGGCCCTTTTTTTTTGTCATTATAGTATTACGGGGAACCCTGTAACAGCCACATCCGTGCTCATGATAATAAAAAAGGCTTGGAAGGCCATCCTGTCCACATTTGACAGGTAACTGAATTGGTTGGACTTAAACCACAAGTACTTGGCCCAGCTTTCCATGCCGAGCCTGAAAACGGGCTGCGCTCCGTTTTGCGCCGACCCGCCAGCGTGACAAAGAAAATTTGTTTTGGCTTGCAGCGCCAGCTTTTGAGGGCCAGTACCCCGAGCTTCCGGAAGTTGCGGGGCGTTAACGACAACGCCCCGCGGCCGATGTATAGGCCAAGTACTGGTGGTTTAAAGGATTAGCCTTTATGAAAAAAACTATCTACCTACATACTACTGAAGGAAAAGCTGGGTCTCGCGTGATGCCGGTGCGAGACCCGGTGCCAGCACGAATACCCTTACAAGGGTATCCGCCCTGATTTTTGCAAGTGACAAAAAATAAGTTTTTTTCAAAATTGAAGTACACCGTGCGAAGTCGCGGTTGCGTTTTGTTCACGCTGACTGAATGGTTGACTGAAAGTAGAGAGTGTGTGGGTGCGCAGTTTTGAGGCATGCATGATGATTTTATTTTGATGTCATAGAGTCGGCGTTCCCGCCGACAAACTTTTGATTTTTTGATTAAGACCAGGAAGAGTTTTTCTCTATGTTGAAGTGACCATGGTGCGTGTGCGCTCATACGGAAGACGTCATTAGGCAGTAATGTTGCTTCTGGGCAATGAATGGAGCATGCAAGCGAAAATAGAACGCGAGCAGGAACCTCCACGCGATGGAGGCGGAGGTTGACGGCCGTTGACTTAGTTGACAGGCCGGGGGGGCTTTGGAATGCTTCAGTGGACCCGCGCGCTGCATGGTACCCACTTACGTAGGTGTTCACTAATTCTAAGGTCAGCCTCGGGCCTAGTATTATTGGTTACGGTGACGAACTTTCAAAGCAGAGGTACGGGGATCGAGGGCAGCGACCGGCGGCGATGGAGCATTGGAGCGGTTGAAGATGCCAGGGGGTTGAGGGCCCGGCGGGGCTAGCCCCCTTGGTTTTGTTGCTGGCCCATCCATGGGCCCGGTTGACGGAACTAAGAGGGGGCACCGACGGTCTCCCTCCCCAAAGCACCGATTCCCGGTGTTCGCATCTTTGTTTTTTTTTTCTTTTTTTTTTTCTTAGTTATTTTAGTTGCCGGTCCCGATTATAGGACGCGGCACTAGCGTCGCTACTAAGGTTTGTTCGAGGGGTGCCAGCCAGCATAGGTTGAAGGGGCCAGCGGTTGCCATCCCCACGAAGTGGTCATCACGGCAGTTGAGAACCTTGAGCACGCGCTGCTAGTGGCGGGCCCGTTTGGGTTCCTGTGTGTTCGGGATGCTGGGAAAACTCCTCTATCATGTTCGTCTTGAAACACGGACCGAGGAGTTCAGCGGCATGTGGAGCCACGGGACCAAGGGAATTACAGCCACTGTTGGAGGTGACCGCGAAATGCTCTATTTTCTATTTTATTATTATTATTATTATTATTATTATTATTATTATTATTATTATTTTAAGCATTGTCTTCGAGAATTGGTGAAAATTTGTTCACAAGAGTTCTTGCACAACTTGTGGATGGCACCGTGTGACCAGCAAAGGACCAATTCGCCATTGCTGCAGACGGCCAGGGTTTTGTCCCATCTGAAAAGGTACAGCTGTGTGACCAGAACCATGCCGAAAACCTCGAACTGGCCTGTCCCAAATCTGCATATTTTGCAGATTTCGGGTCGCAGGGTGAGCCTGCCCACTGAAACCCGTAAGACGGTGAACTATATATGGGCGGGGCAAGGACCAGCGGTGTCGGAGGGCGCAGTGTCCCGGCCCTCCTCCGTGTACCAAGT